TCATTGCTATACTTCCACACGTAAAGTGAAAAAATATGTTATTGCCTATGAAAATATACACAAGTATATGCAATACTTATAGCAATACTTGTGTAAAATCGCAATTTTAAATTAGATGAAAATAATAATAGATAATGAAGATAATAGATAATAAAATTTCTATAGATTATAAATTTCGCTTCTCGAATCATTCATTTATGAAAAATGATTCTGATTTCAAAAATATTGAATTAAGAGAAAAAAGAAAAAACATTCATTTTATATTTTCAAATCAGAGATTATTTACCTTGCATAAAAAATAAATTTTAAATCTATGTAATAAAGGAAGGAAACTTTTAAATTAATGGTACAATTTAAAAAAGGTAGTAATTAAAAAAAAGTGAAGTGTAAAAGATATCTTGAATGAGGATATGTCATTTCTTAAATTAGGATTGCTAAAATCAAAAAATTGTATCTAATCATTTACGAACATTAAATAATGACGCCTAACACATTCAGATCTGTAATTGAAGAGAAAAAAAACATTAATTTACTCCATTATAAAAAAAAAATAGATGATATTGAATCTTTGGATTTTGTAGAAAAAATAAGCAATAAATAAGAACATATATATAACATTATCACTTTCTATAATCATGATCATTATATTTACTATTTTCTTATTTTTCGATTTAGACTTATATTCAAAAAATTTCATATTTTATTGTAAATCATATTTTGTATCAAATCATATTTTATTCATTTTTTTTAAATAATTTGTTAAATAATTAATAGATAATAGATAATAGATATAATGCCTATTTCAGTAAACACATTTTTTTTTATTACGTCTAAGAATAACAATCCTAAATGCGATAATGAGAACTATCCATAAAAAAATTGGATGTAAGAATGGTATAAATCAAAACAATAATGAAAAAATAATCATGTATCTTTTCTGAAAAAAAAACGACATTATGATGGTATAATTTTATAGGAGCTTAAAAGAGATGTAATATTTTTTAGTATTATTTATGTATTTTATAGAATTTTTACTTCATTTCTCATTATCTAAAAATTATTTTTTTGATTTTGCATTAAACAATTCAAATATATTTCTATAAATCAATAAATATTAATAATAATATTAAATGATTAATATTAATATGAAATTATATATAATAATTAAGTAATTAATTAATTATTATAAATTATATATAATAATTAATTAAGTATTACATATATTACATATATTATACTATTTTTAATTAATAAAATAAAATTCATTTGAAATATCAAAACTGCAAAATTTTTTAAAACTCAAAAAATTTCAAATTCTTGAGTTTTATGATTTTAAAAATCATTTTGTAATTAAAAATAAAAAGAAATTCTTAAAAATTGAAATATATATCCAAACAAAATATAATTTATACAATAGAAGAAAATAGAAAATAGTATTGGAAAAATTACTTTGATTCTAAATAAGTAATATATATGTATATACATGTATATACATATTTTCAACATTCTCGTTTGAGCTTTCACCATTGATAGAGTAAACTTTTCTCCTTTTTCTTTTCATTATTATCAGATATACTTAATAAGAATAAAATAATGCACGATTCACATGTTAATTTACCTATAGTGAATCGTCTGCTTTCGCGTATCTATATACTTTCGTTCCACTCTCCTAATCTTCCTGAGAAGTTTAATTCGCAAATGAAATATATTGTATATTTTATATTGTGCATCCATGTAATAATAATGATGTTATATATATATATCTATATATCTATAGCACATCAATTACCAGTATGTTTGTATATATATAATAAATATGCAAAAAATAATGAAAAATTATATAATTAATATTTTCCTAATAAATCAATTAATAAAATATTTTGTTGATCAATTTTGTCAATTTTACATTAATTCAAAATTTTATAAATTTATAAGAAATAATTATAGAATATGCATATTTTTTTTTACATGATATTTAAATTATTCGATAAAGCAAAAACTATGATTTCAAAATAAAAAATTTTTCATTTTTTATTTTTAAAAATATTTAAAAACTTGAAATTTAAAAAATTTTAAAAAAATTTATCATATTTTAAAAAACAAAATATTAAAATAATTTTAATAAATATCTTATATTATATCTTTAGTATCATTATCTTTGCATCTTCTTTGCAAAAATAATAAAAAAAAATAATTAAAATATATAATTAAATATAGTAATTAAAAAATATATCCCAAAATTTTATATTTTGTATTGAAAAATATAGTAACAATGGATTTTTTCTTATTGAATATCAAAGAATTGATTTAGTTCAAAAATATTAATATTATAAAAATATTAAATATTTATATAACAAAAACGTGAATAAAGTTAATTATTCATGAATAATTATATGAAACATATGTTAAATATTTGTCTTAATTTCTTGTTCAATGTTTTATATTATCATTTATATGTTTATGTATAAACATAAACATAACATTCTGAAATCATTAAACCGATTTTGATCGACAAGTTCAAAATCAATATAAGTACATCAAACCGTTCAAAGACGAAATTTAATTATTAAAATCTTATGGTTGTATTAATTTCATCATTCTCCATGTATAACTTTTTGAATATTACTTAATTCTTATTACAATACTTATTACGTATTATCTTGGATTGCTTTTTAATACATTGATTTAGAGCACATCAATATAATTATAATTTTATATATTAAAAAATGATTATTTAAAGTTTACAATTTAAAGTTACAAAGAAAAAGATTTAAAACGCAAAATTTAATATAATCAAAAGTGAACATTAATAATAAAGATAATAATAAAGAATGTGTCCATAAAAAATATATAAAATAATAATATATATTATATAAAAATATAATAATAATTTGTATATATAAGAGTATATTTAATATAAAATAAAATTTAATATAAATAAAATAGTACATTTTTAAAAAGTAATGAAGATAACAACAAAAAATATAGAAATTTTAACTGAAGAAATTTGTTATATTATAAAATAATCAGATATATACATTGAACAAAAAATATTAATTTGTCAAAACGAAGTTACTTACCGAATCAAAGAATAGATGTGATACAACCGTAATAACGTCCGACATGCAACTGATGCTTTGATGCGTCAGTTCTAACAGTTCGGCAATTTTCGTGTGTTTTCGGACGCGCCACGCGGCAAGTGGCAAACACCTGGCGAATCACGTTACGATAATTTAACCATAGACGAAACATAGAACAGATGTAACATACAATGTTGTTCGCGTCACAGAAATTTGAAGATCCTAATCCTTTTATTATTTCCGTATCATATGCGATATTATTGATTTAGAAAAAAACAAGTTTACAACCATAGACAAAGTACAAAATAGATTTAACATATAATGAATTTTTCTTATTTTATATTTCAGAAAGAGGGATTCCAAATTTTACTATATACTATTCCTAAAACTGATTCAATATAAACAATAGATCATAATATTAATAGTGATTAAAATTGAAATTAAATTTTAATTTAAAATCAGAAAAATATTGAATTTATATTTTAATCTTAATGATATATAATTATATTATATTATATTATATTATATTGTAAACCTTATTTTAATTATAGAATTTAATTATAGAATTATTATAGAATATTAATTATAGAATTATAGAATTTAATTATAGAATTATTTAATTATAGAATAGATATACAACTTTTTTTTTATTACATCAAAATGCATTATGTCAAAAGGAATTTTATATATTTTATTATTGACGTTATATATTTTGTAATATTGATCTTGAAAAAATATAGAGAATTTCTGTCTTTAAGACTAATGAATTATTATTAAAAATGATATATATATTTAATAACTATGTTACAAAAAGATCTTCATTTATAAAAATTTTAAAATTTGTTATGTCATATGATTAATAACTATAACAGTTACAAATTACGACAGCAATATATGTACAAAATATAATATGTATAAAATAATATAACACACACACACACACACACACACACACAC